AGCAGCCAAGGCAGGAGACTCCCTTTTGCACTTCTTTGCTCTTAGGTACCAGGCAGCTGCTCCTAACTGAACATTTGTTTCATGTTAACAGGGGCCAGCCTCCAGAAACATCCTCATATCTTTTTAAGTAGCTGCCAAGTGGCCACCTGATGAAGGCAATCTAACATGGCTTAAGTGCCACTAGTTGACACTCTGCAATCTTTTATTGCTTTCCATTTTCATCTATGTAAGAAATTGGTGATAACTAATATATAGTTGATCTTTTCATTCTGATAATAAAATGATAATAAGGATATCTTATTTTCCTCTCCAGACATCCATCATAGTACATTTTTCAAAAACGTACTATTCAGGATGTTTTTTCATTATATCCAAGTCAAAAGTGAGGTTAAGTACTTGGCCTTAGATTCCTTTTCCCTCTGATATTTGGACACTGAGCTGGAAATAAAAGACACTGGACTTCAACCCTTGACACTGCCCACATTAATATCATCTGCAAATTTGTTGTCTCTGTAACTTAGATAAGCCATTTTCTGTAAGAAGCCAAAAACAGTTGGAAGGTCAGCCAAGTAAAACATTTTTTTTTCAACTCCAGAGAGAATTATTTTAAGATAATAAGAGAAAAGAGAACCAGAGAAAACAACATTGGAAGTGGAGAAGTGGGAAGAGTAAATTTTGGTCAGAAGAAAGAGCTGGGCAGCAGAAAAAGAGACAATTATAAAGACATAAAGAAACCAAAAATAATGCAAACAAGCATTAGAGATTATGAGTTTATTAAAATCCATTTTTTATATGGATGCAGAGGTGGCTCCAAGCCTTCCTATGAGCAATAAGCACATTCTGCAAATTATATCATTGATTTGAAAGGACAAAATAAAAAAGAAAATACTAACAAAACAAAACCTTGCATCCGCTACATATTTAGTTATCTATTATATATGACAATTATGACCCACCTATAGTTGATAGAAGCAAGTTTAGTTTTCAACTTTTCAATGTATTTAAACCTTCAAATAGTATAAATAACACTAACAACTTTAAATGCTACTAGAAGGAGAGAGAGAGAGAGAGAGAGAGAGAGAGAGAGAGAGAGAGAGAGAGAGAGAAATTAGAACTTTTGAAGCGTGCAATATGCCACTGTAAAGGCCAAATTTTGGGAAAACAATATAAACACAGAGCCTAATGATTTTGGATTTATTGTTGGGAGGTTTGGGGAAAACTGCCTTGGTCACTCTGAGACAGCAGGATCAAGACATCACAATATGTACTATGGCAGACATAAAATGTACAGAATATGACCCTATTATTAATGCATTTGAGAAAATGTTAAAAGGACCAGAGAAAAATTTTTGTATTCTTTGTATTTTTAAAAGACTTCTTAAGGCAATTAATATTATGGAGTAGGCAAACACTCACCTTCTCATGCAAATTATTCATGTGTTGTTCATAAAAGGACTATTCACTCTGACTTGGATTTCCTTAGTAATAATTTATTAAGGAATAGTTTGTCTTAGTATACATTTCTATAGAAATGATTTTATGTAAAACACTCTACAATATTTCTTTTTGTTAATCCAAATAATTTTTCCTCTTTCTGTTAAAATAATCTCACTTTACTTATAGTTCTTTCCCATCTCTCTTTATTAAAGTACCCTTCACTGCCCAGGGAAGAAAATATCTACATTAAAAGATGGCAGTTCTTTTAGCAATTTCCATATACATGTACTTTATGATGGTAGATTGCTCTTCTCACTATTGGAGTTGATTAAGAAGGCAAGAGCAATCTGACTGCCCCTTTATTCTTATCCTGGACAGAGGAGAATGGAGAACCCTGAGGTAACACACCGCTCTGGTCCCCTCCCAGTCCACAAATATGCAAACACTGACCTCAATCTAATTCCAAGTTGTACATGTCAAATATATTTTGGCAATGGCATAAGCTAATGGACTTCAAAGAGCTGAGAGTGGTCTGGGAATGTGTGTGGAGACATTCGGTTTGTAATCTGAAACAATAAAGCATGCGCTTTAACAGTGAAATGACCACTATTCATAGAGAAGGGTCTTTTTCTTTTTCTTTTTCTTTTTAAATGTACCCTCTCCACACATGAAAATAAGCTTTTGAGTTTTTTTTTGTTTTTTTGTTTTTGTTTTTGTTTTTTAAAAAACAACATGTAACATTTCTTGACAGCTTTTCCTATTAGGGGGGAAATGTTGGCCACAAAGAATCTGCATAGATGATCTTTGGAATTTAAATCTGCCCTTTCCCAAGAGAACCTTAGCAAATGCCAGTCCATGAAAGAGTCTGTTGTTGTATTTAAACTACTGATACAAGAAGGGCTGAAAAAGGAACATATCTGCCATCTCTTGTCCTCATACAGGTCTGAATACGGACAGCCAGATGTTCTCCCTCCTCGCCTACTGCCTATTCTCCAATAGCAAAGATTGGACAGTCTGGTACTATGCATCACTTCTTTTGCATATGAAGGAACATCTGCTGTAAACTGGGGGGGGGGGGGTAGGGTGGAGATGAGGAAGGATGGCGCCACAATAGGAAACAGAGCAATTCTGAGTGAGCATAGAGCAATTTAGGAAGGTTTTCATTAAAACATAATCATTTAAAGTTTGATATTAACTCTCAAACAGAAGATATAATAATTTTTTATGTTATAGTTTATATATTTCCAGAGGGAACATTCTTAAAACACATCAATTAAGGTATTTCCTATTAATTTCATAGTATAGCTGATACCTTCTTAAGTATGGTATAAATTTCAGAGATGGTGGTGGTATATGGCTGGGGATTTAATCCATGTACATTCATCTCAGTTTCAGGCAAACCATATGACTCAAAGGTCATAAATGTAATATGTGAACGTTCATTAACCTGCAAGTTATACTGCAATGCAGATGTTTTTATTTTTTATGAGGTAGGAAATGCACTCCAGGTGGAAATCTCTGCTGATTGAATCACTGTAAGTTAGATTTGCATTATTAGATATATAATGTCCTCCCTCTCCTCAAAGTGAAATAATAACATGAATTCTAGATAGAACGTGGGATTCTTGTTAAACCTGCCCAAGATTCCACAAATAAAACAAAGACAAAGGAAATGAAACATTACCTGATCATTGAATGATCTTTCCTGAGACTGCTGTCAAGTTAAGGCATTTGCAGTCCTGTAGAAGGCATGCTCTGAAAGCTCACAGTCATTCATTTAGTTCAAGTAATTTAAATGTAGTACCTCTTAAAAGGGGGAAAACGCCCCCCACCACACATTTTTGTATCCTTAAAGATAATATTCTCTGCAAAATCCAGAGGAAACATGACTATACTTAATATCAGACTCATAAGCCAAATGAAGGTAATGCATGAATGTAGTAGTTAGACTATAAACATGTGTCGAAAATTAATTTATGTACCTGGAGAACACAGTTCATTTCATTGGATTAATTTCTATCCAGCACTAACATTTACGTGGTTACATTTTATAAATTGTAAAACCTATGTTTTATTGTAAGAGTACATAAAGCAGAAGTCTAAAAATAAATGTGTTTTCTCACATGGATTTCTTAAGATTCAGGAAAAATTAAACTATCTACAGCTGGCTGAAAGCACAGATCTGTGTGAGTGCCACTTTGGCTGCCTCAGTGTCCTAGAGCTGAAGGCAAACTGGACCTCGGGATTCGAGCTGTGAAGTATGTGCACTTGCTCAGAAAGTATGAGAGAGAAGAGATGGGGTTTGAGAGGAGATGGTGGGTACCTGAAAAACTCCACTTGCAGAGTTTGGACAGATTGTTTCAGGAGCTATTTTGTTTGAGATGGGAGTTTATTCATTTAATTTTTCTTAAGTCATGATTGCATGACATTTCTTGTTATGATCGGAGACCATCTTTTTTTGCTATTTTAAAATGAATATTAAAATACGTGAAGACAGATATGAGTTATAAGAAGCACAGTGTTTGAAGCAGTATATATTTGATTAGATAAAACATCTCGTTTTTTAAGTGTAAGACACCATTTTTCCTCAGAGGATGGGTTGTTGCCACTTAGAAACACAGCCCGTGGTTTGGGGTTTAGACTCCATCAACTCATATTCAGCATTTTATAAGGATAGAGACAAAATTCTTTACTGATTATGACCATGAGAGATTAGAAGCTTGCAAGAGCCATTTATTTAAATAGCTAACAACTCTGTGAACATTGGAGGAGGGTCTTTAATGTGGTCAGCAAAACCTGGAAAAGAAAAAATCTAAATATTTATGTAAAGAAAGAAAATAAATGTATACTTGAGATAAGACTACAACTCAAAATAAAATCACAGTCCTTACATCCTTTCATGTTCTCTAGTCCACAATCAAATAAAACTCAGTCCATGCATCTTTTCTCACTAATCATTTGGCATGCATATCACAGATTTAGTTATTTTTGCAGATATATGATTAGGATGTAAAAATTCATCATGTAAATATTCATTAGGGACAAGAAAAACTTCTTTAGACAAGTAATTTTCTGTATATTTATAAACTTGGAAAAAACATATTTTCCTTTCTAAATTTTGAATTTAGAAAGATTTGATACGCACTCTCAAAAATGAAAGGAATTGCATGTTTTTCTGTATTTGTGTTAAGAGATAAAAACAGTAAGCAAAGGAAATAGAAACTAATATTTCCTCCAAATTTGGTCATGAGAAGAGAGTTACTGGAGTTCACGATCTGGCAAAATACGCATTCTACTCGACTTATCCAAAGGTCTATAGAGGCGTTTGTACGTCACCTTAAGAAACACTTGTTGCCTCTTTTGCCACTTAGTGGTAGCTGCTAAGTCTTCAACTGGACAGATTTCAAAATGAATTTTTACAACCCAGATGATGGACTGGTATACTTCAAAAGTGAATTCATGAGTTTTATAAATGCCTCTCTCTCGCTCTTTTTTTTTTTTTTTTGACTAGCTTACATCATAATGGAGGAATAACATTTTAAGAAGTTTGAATAGGCACTTACTGGAATTACAGTTAATCCTGATACAATCTAGATGGGGAAGAATAGATGAAAAATGAAAATTTATCCTTCAAGGTAATAGCTGCAGACATCCAATAAAATCACAGTCCACCCTTCCGGGGACAGACACATGCAAATATGGCCACTCCATAACTTTACATATTTTTAGAACCCAGATTCATCGTTATAAAACTTCACCATTGGAAACAACATTAGAAGGTTTGAAAAAAAAATGGCCACTTCAAACAAAGCTACATGGTGACAAATCTAAGTGGAATAAAGAATTGTTAACTGTCAAAGATGCTTGACTTGGACTGGCTGCAACTTTCTCCCCATCTGTGAAAGAACAGATCGTTGTTTTCAGTCTAATTAAAAAAAAGTGCTCCGTCACAATGGGGTGCAGGTGCAAGCTCAGCTAAGCTCAGACATCTTGGACCTCCAAAATCTAGTATCCCACAAAGGCCATTGGAATCCTTTAGGATGGTGGTGGTTAATGGAGAGCAAGTGGAGATTATTCTCACCTCACCCTAACGTCTTGTTTTGGTTTTGCTTGGACAATGAGGTCACAGCCCGAAGTTTGCTGGATTCCATGCTTGCCTTAATCAGAGGACAGAAACACTATGTATCTTTTAGAAACCTAGTGGCTAAGAAGCAGTGTCATCCTTCAGAACACACCAGCCTACGCCTCTTTTAGGAGCTAACCATGTCATCTCTATGCAGTACGTGTCCTGGTTCATGCTGCTATTGATTTTTCCTTTTCTTATACTTGCTTCTTATTGAAGAGCAGATTCTTTAAGAACAGAATGTCTGATCTGAATAACACAGACTGTGGTTACAAGGGCTATCTTTAAAAGACTATGTGGGGCTTTATGTTTATTTTTATGTAAAGGTAAGTATTTGCTGATTTTGGTCATAGAATTTAATGCCTTTGGGGAACAGGAAAAATATAAACCTAGATTCTGTTTCCATGTAGCTGAGTTTGTCATGTGTCGTCAACCGCATCAGAAAAGTGGTTGCAAACAGCCAAGGACCAGCATCTACACAGCTCTTTCCACAGAATGCTTTGCTGTTGGAAAATGTCCAGGAGTGTTTCCACTTTGGCTAGCAGCTCCTTGACTGCAATTAGTCAATTTATTTTGGCTGGCTGTAGTAACCTAACATTGTCACTAGAGGGAACTCTAACAGAACAGAAAATGAGTCCTGTGTACTCTTCAGCAATCTTTAAAAAACACCCTTATGATCTAACTTAATTTAAATAATATTAATTGAATGTAATGAAACAACTATATATTTTATGAGCTATCATTCTGCTCCGCACAATTAAAAAATGTAGGTTGGGTTTCTATCAATGTAGGTTGGGTTTCTAATTGAATGTAATGAAACAACTATATATTTTATGAGCTATCATTCTGCTCCGCACAATTAAAAAATGTAGGTTGGGTTTCTTACTTCCTCACATTTCCTACTTTTTTTTTTTTTTTAATTCTACAGAGTTTCATGTTTTTCTCTGCTTTTTCATTTTCTGTTTATTAAGTTTTATGTGTGTTTATTGCTTCCGGGAAATACAGTAAAACCTCATAAATTTGTATTCCTCATGGAATTAATGATACTTTTGAAAATTATTGGGCAGATTATTTATAATTCTTCATTCAGTCTGACTATAGACCACCTGAAAAGAATTAAACAAACAAAATGTGAAAGGTCAAGTTTAGGAAGAAAACTGATTTCAACTACTTTACTGTGTATTAATGGCCCAACCTGCATGAAGCAATGTGTTAATTATGGATAATTTTTATCCATGCATTAAACCCCGCCTAGTAACACCTTTCCTTAACAGGATCCCCCCCCCCCCCAGCTATTAATTTGTGCTTTGAATGCAATTAAAAATAAAACTGTTTGATTTTTGCTAATTCTACAATTCAGACCTTGTCTTAATTCTGCCTGGCCTTCCCCCGTGTTCCCTCTGGGTGGCTGAGGTTTTACTGTAGTGACGCTGGCCTAATTCTATAAGGAAGCAGGAAAGCATTATTTTTCTGAAGAAGAGCCTGTGTTGTTAGTGTTCTCGTGGCTGTTTGCTGAGGGCCGCAGACTTTGGGCATTGAAGGGTTGTGGATTGCTGTTTGACAGCAGAATATCACCACACAGAATTTCCAGACAGAAAAGATGGGCTACCACAAAGGCGACTGTTGAAAGGAGAAGCCCGTGGAATAGAAGAAAAAGTACTGTTGACCTAGATCACAAAGTGGAAATTTGATGTTTGGTGCGCGTATTCTCTCACAAGCTATATCTGAAAGGATATCATCTGTAGCCAATCAGAATGCCGGTAAATATGATCACAGGAAATTCGATTTGAGGTCTCTGCAAGCCTCAATGGTTTATATTTCCAATGAACCTCATTGATATGGATGGCTTCCCTTTCACGAGCCCTCAGTGGTAGGAATCACAAGACAGTAAATGATGGTAAACAACAACAATAACAAAAACAACAACAAAAGGAAACACAATAAAAAGATGCCCCAGAAACCTGAATTAATTGAAATGATGGAAATGAGACCATTAAGTGTTTTAACTTTCCATGGCAAACAGGCGACTCGGTAAATGGTGGCAGGCAGAACGGAACAAAAGGTGAAAGGTGTTAGTTCAGGGGGGGGAAGGCGAGCCGTTACCTAGGTTGACCGTCAGTTTCACACGCCCTGCGTCCAGCTCCAGGCGGAGGGTGTCTGCTGAGTCCCGGGAGGTGGTGGCCATGAGAATGCCATATGCACGCTGGGATCGGAACCGTAAGGACACATCCTCAGCCTCTGTGTGCATGACCACGGGCAGCTGGATCTTCATGAACATACTCCCGTCGTAGCTCAGAACCGTTGCCTCTGTAGGTGAGAGATGAATATAAACATTCTTGGTCCATTTAGGGCATTTAGACTTGGAAAAGGAAAAGGGTGACTATGAAATACTTTCAGGTAGACCTGCAAGCTCAGCTTATGTCCTTCAGAAATGAGCAATTTTTTTTTAAGCTGAACAGAGGGGTCCCAAGAGGGAGAAGGTCCTCAGTGAAGCACCTGCTAAAACCCAGGAGGAAATATGGCTGCGATTTCCTTTTCATTCCCATAGCACTGCTGCAGTCTCTCACCTGGACCGCTAAATAGCTCCCGCAAAAGTCTCCTCACTTCTGCCCTAACCAGTTTGGCTCAGTGGATAGAGTGTCGGCCTGTGAACGCAAGGGTCCCAGGTTTGATTCTGGTCAAGGGCATATACTTAGGTTGTGGGCACATCCCCAATGGGGAGTGTGCAGGATGCAACAGATCAATGTTTCTAACTCTCTCCCTCGACCTTCCTCTCTGTAAAAAAAACAATAATATATATTTTAAAAAAAGTCTCCCTACTTCTATTCTTCCTCCCTGCACATAGCAGCCAAGCCAAACTTTTAAAGAAGTAAATCAGATCCATCACTTTATTGCTTAAACAATCCCTCACTACCCCCAACTCCCTACTGATAGATCTCTACTGCAATTAGAATAAAAGCTGTACTCATTTTTCTAACCATTTTTTTTTCTGTGATCTGAGCCCAGTCTGTCTCTCTGGCCTCAGCTTTTACAATCACCCCCAAATACCCCCCCCATCCACCCCCCCCCCACACACACACACACACTAGTTTAGTAAAACCCAAACACACTGATTTCATCTCTCAAGTATTTGCACTCTATCCTAACAGGTTTCACCCCAGATCTTTATATGGCTGGTTCCTTCAGCATTCCTGTCTCTGGTCAAATGTGATAAAATCTAAGTGTTGAAGTGTGGTGAGAACAGAGGTTGGACGCTCCTATCCATGATTTCATCAGCAGCTCACTGCCCCAAAGTGGTAGGCACACAGCAGAGGCTCCACAAACACTTACTGAATTAGTGACTGCATTCAATACTGCGGGTACATGAAAGATCATCCTTCAATTTGGTTACCAAGCTTACAGAGGTGTTCACTAAAAAAAAATATTTAGCTGAAACTGGTTTGGCTCAGTGGATAGAGCGTCGGCCTGCGGACTGAAAGGTCCCAGGTTCGATTCCAGTCAAGAGGATGTACCTTGGTTGCGGGCACATCCCCGGTGGGGGGTGTGCAAGAGGCAGTTCATCGATGATTCTCTCTCATCGATGTTTCTAACTCTCTGTCCCTCTCTCTTCCTCTCTGTAAAAAATCAATGGAATATATTTTTTAAAAAAGTATTAATTCTGCCAATTTTAAGTGGAATCTGATTTTGGTAATGAACGTGAACAAAATATTTACCAAAGTCTACTTTGAAGTTTGTAATTGTGCTGTGAAAGGCAGATTAGGAAAGGGGCCTATTGACCAAGGTAGGGATCCCATGGCGAGGCACTGAGCTAAGCACTGAAAAAAATAATACAATCCTTTAAAATACAGTGGTTCTATATCATATCATTTTCCAATTAGAGAAGAAGTTTCCCAGAGAGATGCAATATCACAAAAGACAGAGTTCAATGTAAAAAAAATCTAGGAGAACTTGCTCCAAAAATAATTAAAACATGATTGCAAATTTGCAGTAAATTCTATAAAACAACAACAGCAACAACAGAAAAAGTGTTTCTAGTATAACCCTTAAAGAAATTTGATCTATACCATTTCTTATCCTGAACTGCAGCCAATCAGTGTCTGTGTCTATAAAACAGTATGTGAATACAAGTTTAAAAGCCATTACCAATTTTTCAGCCACTGTGACATCATACAAATAAAAATACGAAAATATTTTTAGTTTTCACCTGGTTATTCAGTCTGTAAATCAGTCTCTATTATTCATTCAATATTTATATTTTAAATGCTCTCATATTCTTCTATGAAATGTAGCTTGATTAAACACTAAGTAGAAAAACATTATTTTAAAAATATAGAGGTCTGGCAGTGGATCATAAAAATATAGAGGTCTGGCAGTGAAATCCAATCCAAAGTAGGAAAAATAATTGGGATCATTGGCCTTTACCATTCTCCAAAAAGCAGCAGGAACGAAATAACAGAGTAAAATAATAAAACTTGAAAGCTCGTGATGGCCGTATTAAACAATACTCAATGTGAAAATAACCTGTTGATAAACGACAAACAAGTGCCTAAATGATTCCTCATAATTAAAATTAATTTTTAATTAGACAAGGAATAAAAAATGAACAAGGTTGTAGCCTAGAGTTGCCAAATAAATGGCAAACAGCATTCTGACATTTGAAGGTTATGTTATTTGGCAGCATCTTTTAAAATCAGTAAAATTATTTTAGCACTTAGAATACAAAAGAGTCCTTTACGCGGCTAATTCCAAAGCAATACTTCCCAGTGGGGGAGGAAAAGTTTCAACTTTGTCTCCTAAATCTTCTTCTCCCCTGTCGCTAAATTTGACAAATTTGCTCTTCTGCGTTATTCCTTCTCGCAGTCTAAAGTGTACACCTGTGCTCAGTTTTGCCGAGAGGCAGTCACATATTGTGATCAACTATGAAAATCAGACAGGGAGCCAAATTATATTGCTCTGACATCTGTCCCGCCATCTGTCAGAATTTGAACAAACAAGTTTAAAGCAGACCTCTGATTATACCATATACATGACCCAAAACAATTTCTATATGAGTGAATCTCTACCAAGTCCCAGTTTTATTTTAAAAAATAAAGCAGGAGGGAAGGTGCTGCATTTAATTCATATTATACTGACCATCATTTATATATTACTCCTCCTTATGGGATCAATACACAGAAACAAAATACTATTTTCCTAAGTCAGCAAATACTCTCTTCTTTCTTATAAACCTCTTTGCTTACTTAAATGCAGAATGAATATTTCCTATGAGATTGCAGCTCCATTCCCCATGCTGAATTGTCCATGGACTTGAACATGCTTTTTAATTACTTTGAATAATTATCTTTATATGTTAGTAACTATTGCTCAATAATAGTAAAATGGAAATTTTTTAAGTGCCTTTTTTAAATCCACTTCAAAAGTTGTCAATCGACTCTTATGTGCTCAACAACCTTAGGTGATTAGAGTGTCATGAGAAACATTCCTTTATTTTGAATAGAAAACCCCAAGGATTGGGCATGATCTTGTATTGACTGAACTAGGGCAAAGCTGAGCACTGGGCAGAAGCCAGATGTTGTGGTATTGAGCATGATAGCATCCCACCCACATCACCCTGTTCGCAGGAGATGCCCAAATGTGAACAAGAAAATTAACTCCGAAAATCCAAGACTACTCACAATATGCCGGGTAGTCCAGAAACAAAAAAATACACCCAAAACGACCATGTCCTCCTCCACACACAACCAACCCGAAGACAAAGAAATCTGTAGAAATGTCCAGCCATCTGTCAGATAAAAATGTATGTCGAACCCCAGTGATGAAGCTTGCTATTAAATTCTCATTTGCAAATCTGCATATGCTTGCCACCCTCCTTCTAATTATTGCAATATATAAATATTCCCTTTCCCTCCTTCTGGCTCAGGAAGCTCCACGGTTACTATTTTTATTTCTGCCATGTGTAGTAGCGGGACACAGCCACAGGGTGGTGCACCACGCATATTTAACTGAAGGCTTCAGCAAAGCCTGGGAGGGTGCAGCTCTATCCTGTTCTATTCTCACTTAAGCAGGAGGCATCAGAAATCAGATGGCTCCCGGGGTGATTAAAATAAAAACAAAATCTTCCATCATACAGGTCGGTCTGCTCATCTCCCATGATAACTAACTGTAATACATCTCGTGAGCTTTGTCTCTTTGTTGTTATTGTTGGTTTCTTTTGGCGATTTCTAAAAACCAAACTACACAAGCAAACTGAAATTAAAAGGAAAAATGAGAAGAGAAAATTTACAGAGACCACATGCACCTTAAATATAAAAACTGCGCAGAAATATTTAAACCCTGATGATATTTCACAGCGATTGCCATTAGGAGAATGAATGCACCATGTTATTAAAATATTGACCCATCTATGGACCCATCTAATTGTATAACAGAATAAAAACAGTATTTTGCTGGGTAATTTAAGGTATTAGATTTATTCTTATTATTTTTCGTATTGATTAGGGTTGATAATAGAGCTGATGAAATGACAAACCTCCTTATTCAGATCAAGAACCAAAGTCATATTTCAACTTCGGATTCCTGAAAAATCACTGCTTTGTCTCTAAAAAGTGTTCTCTTGGATGTTGTATTAAACTGCTGTAGAAATGAAAGGAAGAAAAAGACTATCGGTAGCTGAGAAAATAGATGCCGGTTAACTTTGAGGTTAATGGCTAACAGCGATGTTATGTAGAATGTGAGAGCACAATGGAAAAGCTCATCAATATTTTCTCATATCGATCTTTTTGTTCCATTGTTGAAAATGAGTGGCAATGGGAGTAGCGACGAAAGCATTTATCTGAGACTCTTAGGTCGATAGAGGGACATGCTGAGTCCTACTTGCTTTGCTCTTTCTCCAGTTAGCCTGCTCTGCAGATGGACTGTGACAGCCTTCCCCCTTCCCCCCTCCTTTAACCCTTACTCTTCTCCTTCTAAATGGAGAGGAAAAGAAGGGATGTAGCTCAGCCTCCTCACCCAGGAGGAAATGGAGGTACCTGCTCAGAGCTCCTGCAGACACACAAAGCCTTCTTATCGAATAGACAATGAATCTTTGTGACCAGTTAAGTCCAGGGCAAAGGTAAGGAGGTGCCTTAGAAATCGGGGCGCACTTCTGAAAATGCTGATGTAACTTGGGTGATGCAAAGCCAGCTTACTTTTCAAACGCCAAACCTGGGGGAGGTGACTGCAGTGAAGTGAGCAGGCTACCCCAGTTCTCCTGCCATGGTGTCAGGGGAGGGGCGACTTCCTGCTTAGCCTGCATCTAATGCTATATTTGGGGAGGGGAGAGGGGGGAGATAGATATCAGCACTGGATTCCATAAATGTGCCTAATTCATGCCTTTACTTTCTATTGTCCTGGCATTTAAAAAAATGGGCAAGAGAAAGCAGTTATTGTCTAATCTACTGCTTAGGCTCATACCCTAGGATACAAAACACCCACATCTGTATTCCTGCAGTATCCTGAAATAGCCGTGTCTTCCCAAACCCGGTCCTTTCAAAATAGATCATTAAGAATGCATCAAGGTCCGAAACCGGTTTGGCTCAGTGGATAGAGCGTAACCTTCGGACTGAAAGGTCCCAGGTTCCATTCCTGTCAAGGGCATGTACCTTGGTTGCGGGCACATCCCCAGTAGGGGGTGTGCAAGAGGCAGCTGATCGATGATTCTCTCTCGTCGATGTTTCTAACTCTTTATCCTTCTCTCTTCCTCTCTGTAAAAACTCAATAAAATACATATTTAAAGAAGAAGAAGAAGAAAAAGAAGAAGAAGAAGAAGAAGAAGAAGAAGAAGAAGAAGAAGAAGAAGAAGAGGAGGAGGAGGAGGAGGAGGAGGAGGAGGAGGAGGAGGAGGAGGAGGAGGAGGAGGAGGAGGAGGAGGAGGAGGAGAAGGAGAAGGAGAGAAGGAGAAGGAGAGAAGGAGAAGGAGAGAAAGAGAAGGAGAGAAGGAGAAGGAGAGAAGGAGAAGGAGAGAAGGAGAAGGAGAGAAGGAGAAGGAGAGAAGGAGAAGGAGAGAAGGAAAAGGAGAGAAGGAGGAGAGAAGGAGAAGGAGAAAAGGAGAAGGAGAAAAGGAGAAGGAGAAAAGGAGAAGGAGAAGGAGAAAAGGAGAAGGAGAAAAGGAGAAGGAGAAGGAGAAGGAGAAGGAGAAGGAGAAGGAGAAGGAGAAAAGGAGAAGGAGAAAAGGAGAAGGAGAAGAGGAGAAGGAGAAGAGGAGAAGGAGAAGGAGAAGAAGAATGCACCAAGGACACCTGTCAGGGGTGACTGCCCAGCCTGCAGGGAGCTCACTTCAGCAGAGCACACGCTATGTGTCCACGGTCAATTTCAAGATTCAGGTCAACATGGAAGAAGCTTTTCATCCCAGGGGGGCAGTTCAGCGGCTCGGTGTTGGGGACCCTACCTCTCTCGCAGGACCTGCCCAGGTAGCCCGTTCCGGAGCAGTCGCAGACATAGCGGTTCCACCCGTCCCTGCACACGCCGCTGTTCTTGCAGGGGTTGCTAAGGCACGGTTTTGCTGTCTCCCTGGAGCAGGAGGGCTTCACGCCCGCGGTGCTCTGCACCTCGGCCATCTGCCGGATGTCCTTGCTCTGGCCGTCGATGAACAGGTCCCTGATGCAGCCCACATAGCCGTAGTTGAGCAGAGCCGTCCACACCTCGGTGGGGAAGACCAGGCCGGCCTTGTTCTCCGGGAGGCCCCCCAGGTACAGCTCGTCATCCAGGTCCAGAATCTCGCTCTCCCCGGGGGCGGTGTAGGGGGTGCGCAGGGTGTTGACGGAAATGGTACCTGTGGCGGAGACAGGAGACACACACATGTTTTTTTTTGTTTTTGCTTTTGTTTTTGTTTTTGTTTTTGTTTTTGTTTTAATTTTCTTTATTGATTAAGGTATCACATATTTGTCCTCACCCCCCCCCATTCTAATCCCCCCACTCATGCCCCCACTCCTTATTGTCCTTGACCTCTGGTTAGGCTCATATGTGTGCACATAAGTCCTTTGGTTGATCTTGAGACACATACATGTTTACAGCATGCACTGTGTGCCACACATGACCCTTTCCTGCTGTCATGGAACTCCTGGAGGGCACACGTATACATTTTCCTTCCTATCCCCCGTGTCTCTGTACTTCTCAGTGAAATGAACAGGAAGATGTGGAATCAAGGCAGACCGGAACTAAAATGATTCCGCAGGCACGCCTCATTTTACGGCAGGTTGCTTTACTGCACATCAACAGATGTTGCACTTTTTACAAAACAAAGGCAAGACCCTCTGCAGGCAAAGCGATGCCTCGTTTTATTGTGGTGGTCTGGGTATCAAATCCACAGTGTACAGCCAACCCAGAGTGTTTGTTAGCCTCTTGTAGTTTGGCCAAAAAAGGGAGGAAGGAAGGAAGGAAGGAAGGAGGGAAGGGAGGAAGGAAGGGAGGAAGAAAGGAAGGAAGGGAGGGAGGGAGGGAGGGAGGGAGGGAGGGGAAACTGGCATTCCATATCGCTAATAAGAAAGAAAGTGACAGAAAAAGGAGAAGTTGACATTCTGTACCTCTTGGGAATAAAGTCAGACTCTCCCTGGTTAGTTCTCGTTTTTAAAGCTGTTACGCAGCTGTGAACTAGGGAAAGATCCTGTGCATCCATCTTAAACGGGCTTGATTGAGTTTATTGAATATAATAGTTTGACTGATTATCTATGTCAACGCCTGACTTCATCATTCTTAAGCCACATGAATCAAGCAATTAACCGCTAAGGTCTCGGTTTACTCATTTGGTACATGGCCATAATAACAGAATAGGACCTACCTCACATGGTTGTTCTGAATATTAAATAAATAATACTCGTAAATATCTAGTTTATAATAAGCACTGAATAAATGCTGTGTGTCATGATTAATCACAAGAACCAAGTTAAATTTGCTGTTTATTTTTTAAAACTTTTAAAAATTAATTTTAAAGAGAGGAAAGGAGAGAGAAACATCAATCATATACCTTGACCAGGGATTGAACTCACAACCTGGGTATGTGCCCTGAACAGGAATTGATTCCCCCACCTTTTGGTGTACAGGATGACACCTCAACCAGCTGAGCCACACCAGCCAGGGCTGCTGTTTATTTTTTAAAAATCAAACTAGTTACTCATCTAAATTGACAAATTTCCCCCCTCACTCCAAATAAAAGAAGAAAATAATTCTATTAGCTTATAAATATACAGGACCCTGGCCCTAAGCATATGAGGAAGAGTAGACATTCACATGGGATTCCTTGAGGATCACAGAAAAATATTTGTGGAATCCATTAAAAGAAGAGGAGAGAAAGAAAGATGGAAGACAGTTACAATCAAAACTCCCCTTCTGTGCCACCAGACTACTCAAAATCCCACCAATATTCTATTTCCAGAGTGATCTCCGTAAAAGTGCAAATATGATACCGGAAAAGAACGCCACATGGACCCATTACTGGATTATCCCAGATTTCTCTCAGGCCTAGACCTTAAAGCCGAACAGGAGGAGTCTGAAGAGAGAAAGCGGATTAGAAAACATCTGGTGCCATGCCCTCCACTGACAGCCAGCCTCAGGGATTTACGGAGGGGACACACAGGAGAGGCCTAAAGACAGAAGATGGGGACAGACGTAGGGACAGCAGGGGAAGTGTACTGTGGGTAGGAAGATGCATTTCAGTGGTTTCATGGGATACCCAGGACTAGCTCTACAAGAAAATAGGGCCTGTGATGAATTGGAGACATGCATATAACTAAGGGCATGGCTGCTGTCTCTGTGTGGTGCCAGGGGCACTCCAAACCCCAGCAGAGGGGCAGCACAGGCTGTGTAAGGGCTCTGTCTGTGAGAGGGAGGAGGGCATGGGAGACGCTGACAGAGACAGTGCAGGTGGCCAGGTTGTTAAGAGGACATCTGTCTCTCTAGACTTCCACAGAAAGAAGTGAAGAAAGCTCCTGGGGGAGAAACACTCAAAGGTATTGCTATTCCGGCCTTCCAACGAGCAGAGTGTAATAGCCATTTTGTAAGGAGGCAGCCAAAGGGAAAGCAACAAAGCACTCATTTTTACTGTTCACATCTGTGCAAGCATCTAGAGGAAAACTCATTTAGGGACAAGAGGTAGCATAAGATCCTACTGAGAAAAATATAAAACATAGCAATCTGGGGAAACGAGAGATATAATTTTGAAAGAGAATGGTGACACTTTTCTAAACAGAATTTCATTACGTGTATTTTTAACTGTCCAGCATGCACAACAAGAAGCAGGTTAACAGATGATCCCTTCTCCCACACAGCAGCTAGAGTTGCATTAGAAAATGATGAGACAGGAAGTGCTCATGACAAAAGAAAAGGTGGACATTAAAAAGAAATGCACTGCCCTGGTCTGGTTGTTGAGTTGATTAGATCATCATCCAGATATGCCACAGTTGTAGGTTCCATCCCCAGTCGGGTCACATACAAGAACCACTCAATGAATGGAAAAATAAGTGGAACAAAAAAACCTCTCTCTCTCTCTCTCTCTCTCTCTCTCTCTCTCTCTCTCTCTCTCTCTCTCTCTCTTTCTCGTAAACAAAACAAAACAAACAAAAAACCTCAACAAATTGTATGTGAAAAGCAATGAGTTGTGTGGCAAATGATTGGATGCAATGAACACAGTTACTTGTATTTTTAAGATAAAAGAGTAACACCCTTTTTTCCAATTAGTTCAAGAAGGCCAACTAGACATCTATAATAGTAAAAGCATAATATGGTAATTAGACCAGACGTCCTTCCCGATGTCCTTTTGGACGAAGCTGGGGTTCCAAGGAAAGCCCGCATCCCTGGTGGCAGAGAGAAGCTGGTGCTGGCAGCCGGGGAAGGAAGGCCTACTCTTGCATGAATTTCGTGCATCTGTCCCCTAGTGATTACATAATATTCAAAGAGAGACACAGAGCAAGTGAAAAATAAAAAAGTTTTTTAAGAGTAGAAATATGTTCTTAAAAATATATAACTTTTCCCACATGCCTTTTTTTATTCATGGAACAGACTTGTTTTAGCTCATGGAAGAAAAAAAGAAACTCTTGGAGAAACTGTACTGTCCTTATTCATGATGTTTTAAGTCTAACGCTAAGCGGATAGTGAAGGATCCCTGAGATGAGGGAATTTGGTGGTTTGCATCACACCCACTCTCCCTGACTCCCACATAGTTCCTAGCTGGGTGCACCATGCGGTTTCTATATTCAATGAGCCCACACTCTCAGGGCGGCCACTGGTGCTAGGTACTTCCGACAATCACCTACGAACAGTGAGAATGTGTGAGTAGGTCTCTGGATTTTACTTATAGTGTCTTAGGGTCTGAACAAAGCATGGTAAGGAAGTTCAGAGATGTTTTCAAGTTTAGTACTTGTGGCCAGAAAAAGATATTCACTCTACCTTTGTGATTAGAGTTTTCTGACCACAACAACTAAAGTTGACTCACATGTTTCTTCACATATAACCCAGTGCACACATGCGAACATGCTTACACACACACACACACACACACACACACACATACTGAAACAAAAGTTTAATAGAAAAATATTGGACTCTACTACCACTGAGGCAATCTGACATTTTCTTTCTATTATATAATTTTCTTAATACAAATGCTAGACATAATCGTCCAAATTTATTTCAGCACCGGGTTGTAAAGACACGATTGAGAGGTTATTATCATAATGATAAGGATGCATAGCTCTATATGATCCCTTTGAGAGACAATTTTAGAATTCTCATGGAAAGAAGCAACAATGAAAGGGGGGGGGGGAGCAAAAAGAATATAATCAAACCTTCAACCCAAATATAATCCAAGGGAACTCAAACTTTATTTAGACCTGGATTCAACATAAGGAATCACATCCAGCATATGTACTGATCAGATATCATCACCACTCTGAAGAACATTTATCAGCATAAATAATAAATTCACATTTTATGCGCAAGTATACATAAAAGGGGGCAAACTATTGAAGACCATTCTTAGTTAAAAAGTGGAAATCAGCTTTACAATTTGATCTGCTATTTATAACCTGTTCCTTTCCACTTTTTTTTTCCCATTCAATTTTTCTTGGCTACTCCACTTCAAAAGATTAGCTTACAAGGTGCGAAGAAACATGAAGTGAAGGTGAGATTTAGAATAAGTCCATTTGGTTTCAAGTTTTAAATTACTGTGAAAGTATAAGTGACTGGGAAGTAACGGGGTAGGGAATGGTGGGCTGTAATTGGAATGGCTTTTGCCTGGCCGCAGGAAACCAGTTTTCATGCTCCTGCTTTGCAACTAACTAGCTGACAAGTTTAGCCAAATAATGGATTCATTAGGCTCTAGTATGGCTTTTATGCAAAAATAAAGGAATTGACTGGAGGGTCACTAGGGTTCTTTTTTGAATAAAAATGTTGAAGTTACTGCTTATAATAAATTTTAGCTAAATATCAATTTTATCTATCAATAATTCTGATACACCTCTCATTGCAGAAGAAAATCAAAACCTACAAACTTAAAGAGGTACTTGTCAAATTTCTAGTCTATTAACAAAACCAAACTCAGTAAAAAGAGATAATATAAGTGATAAAAATATAATGGAGTATCAATTGTATTGTATAGTGCAAAATGCAAAATATAGAATTCTCATAATATATAGATAATGGAAGGAAAAAAGAGCCATAATATTAACAATGAAAGTTTTGGAGTATTGGGACTATGAGTGGATAATTCCTTAATTCTATTTTAGTTTTGTGTCTTTTTAATAAAAACATTATGTATTAGGTTTAACAGAACTCCTTCTG